TGGCCCGACGTGCGTCATCCGTATCTTCGAAAGGTTGCAACGTAACCCGGTTTTGAGGCAGTGCAAGCTCCACCGTCAGGGTCTCAGGAAGATCACACTCCTAGCAGAGCTCAGCTGTGAACGTCAGCATGTCAGGTAGATGAAGCTGTGAAATGCGTGATGTTGATACATTCCTAGGCCAGCTGCTTCTCACCTGCAATAAATTGTGATCGGTTGAGACGTCGGGCATCCGGTCCGGCCGGCCGCAGGTTGGATGCCTAGGCTAGTACAATTCGTATGGTCACGCCGGAGAACGATGACCCGCGGCGTCGCATCACCTCGGCGCGCGCGCGTCAGGTCACGTTGGTGTTTTGCGTTTCACCGGACCCCGACGGCGAAAGCAAATTTACCGTACCGGTAGGCCGGTGCCGGTCGGATCTGTCTCGGCTGCAGCGGCGGTCGCCCGTGCGGATCAGCCACGGATGAGTTAATTGTACAGAAGTATCACAATTGAGGCATTGGAAGCAAATTGATACCAAGTTTGATAATTTTTACGTGTCAGTATCAAGTCTGGGGCTAGCCGTTATAAAAAGATCTAAATCGCGTATAAACACGTATTGACGGTGTATCTGACCGATGGGGCCCGGCTGTCGGGTGCCGACGTGGCATTTTTTTTTTGCATAAACACTCCTTCCCCCGCGCGCGCAGAAAACCAGTCGATCCAGACGTCGCCGGCGAGCAGCAGCAGCACGAGGACCCCTCGCGCCTCCTCCCGAGCTCCCCAGCTCGCTCACCAGCGCGCCGCCACCTCCTCGTGCCTGGGCTCCTCCTCCTGGCCGCCTCCGCCCGAGGGTCTCGCCGACCCCGCCCCCAGCCGTCGCCGGCGAGCAGCAGCAGCCACGAGGACCCCTCGCGCCTCCTCCCGAGCTCACCAGCACGCCGCCGCCTCCTCGTGCCCGGGCTCCTCCTTCCAGTCGCCTCCGCCCTAGCGTCTTGTCGACCCCGCCCCACGCGCCTCGCCAGAGCAGCCATCGCCGGCGACCAGGTCCCCTCGCGGCCTCCCTGTTTCCCCCCTCTCTGTTGTATGAACAGAGGACCAGCGCCGCTCCTCCTGCCCTCCGCCGCGTGAGTCGCCATCCAGATCCGTCGGTTCACGCGCCCTACGCCGCTCCCTGCCGCCGGAGTTGCGCCAAGTCCCGCTGCCTCCCCTGCTTCGGCTGCAAGCAGGCGAGGCGAGGTGGAGGCCGGGGCGGGGCGACGGTTACGGGAGGCGAAGGAGCTCGGGCTCGAGGGGCTCCTCCCCTCGATCTAGATCGGGCGCCGCCGTGCGTGGAGACAATGAACAGTAGCGCCGGCGAAGCAAGGGGCTTTCTGCAAAAAGAATGCCACATCGGCAACTGACATGCGGGCCTCGCCGGTCAGATACACCGTCAATACGCGTTTATACGCGATTTAGATCTTTTTGTAACGTCTAGCCCCAGGCTTGGGACTGACACGTAAAAAATACCAAACTTGGTACCAATCTGTTTTCAATGCCCCAATTATGATACTTCTGTGCAATTTACTCGCCACGGATTGATTGCGCCGACCGAGGCCGATGAGGTCACGGGTGAACGCCGCACCCCAGGACTGGACCACGCCGAGGTCTAGAATGTGAAGGAACGACATGCATGCATGTGTCCGCTCCCCGAGGCGAGGCCCATTGTCAAATGGCTCGGAACGCCCCGGCCGCTTATCAGGCTAGGTTATCTGCAGCACAAGCTCGGGAGAGAGCTCTCATGGCTTATCTGTCGGTCAAGGGCGAGAAGCAAGGAAAAAACGAAGGTGCCATACTGAGCAGAGCGAATGGCAACATGTGCGATTCGACGGTGCAATCGACACAGACTATATCCACCGGGCCAGGAAAGGAATTAACCATGCGTAACATGGCATCAGCAAGCCACCGGCTACCAGTTCCAAGGGTGCATGAGATGGACGGACTACCAGCTTGTACACGCGGACGCTTTAGACACGAGGGCGGAGGCGCCGACGGAGCCTCGGCGACGTGGCGAAAGAGATGACGATTGTTCATTTGCTCGCCGTGGCAAAGACACCTGGATCTTGGCCTTTTCCTGCCCCGGCACCTTTGCATGCGTCGGTGTCCTTCATCTCTGGCATCACACTTTCTTCTCCCCAGCGGTGCACGCACGCATACATGCTTTACATGTTCCAGATGACGCCATGCCTAAAGCGTAGTACAGTACTAGGGAGTACTGTACTCCACGGCTCCTCATCGCATGTTCCGGTTGGGCGATAAGCTTGTCTCAACTTCTAGTCTTCTACCAGGAAGTACTGTACTCCGCTGAATACTTAAACTGGTTTAAACACCGGGAAACCGATTAAAAACTAACCACGCGAACTGGAATGATCGGGACTTTCTGTTTGATTAAGGGGGGCAGCACACCAGAGTGCCATAGAAAACGCATATGCCTCTTGAGCCGGAAGAATTAAAGGGCAAACTATAGATGCAATTAAAGGGCGTCGCAGTTGACTGAGACTTAGCAAGATTGTAAATCTTACGTAGGTGTAGGATTTTCGTATTGGACCCACATACACATCCAAGGACATCTTCGACGCAGATCCTTCCGGCCTCAAATGTCCATGCGGTAGCTTTTCTTGTATATTGGCCAAGTGACAAAACTCCATGCAGTTGCATAGATGACCAAATATTATACCTGTACTGATCGATCGGCTGTAACTCGATTGCAGCGAGATGGGAGGGAAGGGGCATGGAGGTCCCTGTCCCCCGGACTGCAAACCAAAGCAACCATGAGAGCTACTCCACGGTGCAAATATATATATGGGCTTGACCACAAAAAACGCTGGAGCATAGGCGGTAGACTGGTCCGTACCGTACCGATTAATTCTATCGCGTTTGCAGCTGTCGTATTACTGCCGCAACAACAAACAATTACAGGCCATGGAGTGTGTATATATTATATTTCGAGAAACGTATCCATGGCAGCAGGCAGTCGGCGGTGAAGTATGCAACGTGACTTTGGGAGACAGGCGCCTAGTGTAGGAGGCAGGCGTGGTGAAAGCCATGGAGCAGCCGACGCTACGCCTGCATCCAAGCGATGGTCTGACGTACGCAACCCGTACCACCGGAAGGTTGCAACCCAGCCCAGCATGAAGTGACAGAAAAAGAGAGAAGAATAACACGTGGTGGTGCAAGTGTAGAACCTCTACGGCTCCACCGTCGAGGAGATCAGAGCGAGCGCTAGGTACGTATACGTGTAATCAGCAAACTCAGGATGCTCCTACAGAAAAGCTTTGGGATAGTATAGCTGTACGTGAACGTCAGATGGTAGATGAAGCTGTGGAATGTGCGATGATGATCCATTCATAGACCTGCTTCTCACTGCAATAAATATCGATCCGGATGCGGGCCGTTGTTCTTCGGCTCTCGGTTAGAGTAAACTGATCCCCAGCTTCACCAACGAGTCTGCGGATCTACCTCCCTTCTGTCTGCCGTTTCAGTAACCGGTGGTGGAGAAGGGATCCGATGACTTGACTTCTGTTAATAGTTTAGATTACAATTTTTTTTCTTGCAGGGCTGACACTTTATTTTTTTAATTGGTCTTCCGGGCTCCGATGCACCTCACCTTGACTGCATTGTTCCTTTAGCGTCATGTGCACAAAAACATTCCGGCTATCATTATCAAGGTCAGGCCATCTTCAATAGGAGGGCAGAGACTCGTTTTAGTGGATGTAGCTACCGTCTGCGTTTGTATGATCAGGATGTTTTGTTGTAATTTTTACTACATTTAAGATACTTTGTATTTCCAATGATCTGGACCCCCTTTTGAAATGAAAATAAAGAAATGGATTCGATCGAGCACACTCACACGAATACGTTTTTGCTGGGCACAACGCAGCCGGGTCCTAGCATTCCACATGGTTCCCTTTGCTCCAAGTATTGACACGTTTCCCGCACGATGTGATCCAGCCGCCTGCCCGCAGGTTGGAGGTGTCGGCCGTATAGGTGGTGTTGTCGCCGTCACGGGGTGGCCGCCGCCGGAAAAGGATGCCCCCGCCGCATCACCACCTCGACGCTGTCCTTGCGCGTACGCGCTCGCCGTTCCGGCCCCAGGCCACGCGGGCGCGTCGCGTCACGTTGAGTCTCGGTGTTACTTTTCATCGGCGCGCACGACGACCTCGACGGCGTAGCTAAATTACCGTCCCGAAATGGCCGTTTGCTCTGCAGTGACAGAAGACGGACCATTGCCGGTACCAACTACGCCAGTGAATCAAAAGCTGCTCGCGACTTCTGACAACAGCCTGCAGATCCGTGGATTCTGGAGGGTCGTATTGCTTCGTTGCAGTGGTATTTCCACATCCCAATCCCCGTTCGTTTGTAACAGTGCAGAAAACACATCGAGTGTCGTTTGTAGGGATGAACAACAATATACAATGAGCTGCACGGAAACCCGACCCTCGGGTGGCCGGTCAAGGCTCGCGTAGCCAGCCCATGGCTGCCCACGTTCTGATCTGCAGCGGCGGCGGTCGTCCGGCTATGGGTTTGATTGCATCAGGACCGGTGAGGTCAGGTCACGGGCGCCCGTCCGCAGACCGGACCACCGTCTGGAACAAACAACACGCACGCATGCGCTTGACAGCTTCTCTGTCTCTTCTTCTCCACTGCCCACCTTATCAGAGAACTTCGTCCAGAGCAGCGAGAGAACTGCACGGAAACGCCAGGCACAAACAGGAATTACTACGAAAAGATAGTACGCAATTTGATGTTGCATTGCAGTCCAGGTTCGGTTCTCCACTGGGGCAGGAGAGGAAACCGCCATGTTCCATGTGTCACATGGCATCCTCAGTCACCGGCCACCGCTGGCGCATCGCCAACAACAACAACTCCTCGCTACCCAGTTCGATCTGTATACAAGGACGGGCGGTTTAAACATGGTGGACATGTGCCAAATATATGTGGCACATCACTAGCTAGTATATGTAATAAGCTAATGGCCGCCCGACTATGCGGCGGCGACGGCGTCCCCGGCGCCGCCGGAGCCGCCGCCGCTGCCAGACTGGTCCGACGGGGCCTCCCGGATGGATGTGATGGTGCAGTTCTGTTCCATGAGCTCGTCCTTCGCGATCTGATGCTCCCTGCACTCCTGGCTGCAGAATGCCACCTCGCCCCTGCACGACATAGACAGACAAGGGAATTCAGCATCAATCCATCATGTCACAATGTCACAGACACCTTCAGGGAATAATTTTAAACCTTCTTTTATTGCAGTAAAGAAACCATGCATCTTTTTTAGTATTTGGTTAAGTCTATGTGGTCGATGACAGATTGTGACAATTAAAGAAATACTGGAGTTAGATGGTACAAGTGACCAAGTTTATGGTATGATAATCAGACAACAACTCATATGATTGGCCGGTTAATATTCTTTAATGGGTTGCTTAGGGGAGAACAGTATGCAGCCTTGACTCTTGACAAGTAAACTGAACCTAAATGCATCCCAATAATTTTATATTTTGGGACATGACAGTTCATACATGATTCAGGGACCAAAATTAAACAGGGATTTTTTTATAAAAAAAAGCTATGAGCACACATGCATCAACAGTACATGTCTGATAAGCAAATAATTAACATGGTAGAGCAAGCCAATAATGTATCGGCAACAAATAATATGCCGAGAGAAAAGGCTCTCATCGGCATATTCTGAAAAGAAATACAGGAGGGAATAAGATTCATAATCATACTATGAACTAATTAAGAATTGATGGACTGCTTCTGCTTGTACCAGCGTGGAATCAGCATTACCTTTCTAATGAACGAGGCTCGTCAAATCAGTACCCGCCTAAATTAATAAACAGATGGAATTCCGAATAATTAGCACTAGATTTTCATAATTGAAAATGGATCATGAATAACCCCCTTGCATCGTCACGGAATTTCGCATCTAAGCAAGCATGTCCGCAGAATCGTAGGCTGCCGGCAACATGATAAGAAGATTCGATCTAGGTGCAGTGCAACCCTGACGTGGAAAACGAGCGAGCGGCGCGGAATTCGCACCGCAAAGCAACACGAGAGATGAGATTGATCGGCGCCTGGCCAAAAATCGCCAGCATGCCACCGAAAAGGGACAAAAGAAAAATGGAACCCATGGGCGAAACACGAGGATTTCACCGGACATTTCCGAGCAGAGAATGGGAAAGCAGGGACGCCGGCGGTACCTGTAGATGTAGGTGTCCTCGCCGGGGCCGAGGGGCTTGGCGCAGAAGCCGCAGGCGGACAGGAACGCCGCGGTGATCATCAGCCCGGCGAAGGCGTCCCGCCCGGGAGAGGGGTAGCCACCGCCGGCGCCGCCGCCCGTCCCCACCGCGCCGGCCGATACGGAGGAGGACGGCCGCGCGCGCGCCTGCCTGTCCTTGTCGTCGTCGTCGCCGCCGCCGCCGCCGCTGCCCTGGCGCACCTGCTTGGGCACCGACGGCATGGACGCCAGGCTGGTCGTCCGGCGCATCAGCATGCTCCGCTGCCGCTTGCCGAGCATCTCGCCGGGGCCGGATTCGCGCCGCGCTCGCTGGCTCGCGGGCTCCCGCCCCGCCGCTGTCAATCTCTGATTCGGTACGGCGGCCTTTCTGTCCCGAGATTTGGAGAGAGACTGGATGGTGGGGAGAGGGGTTTTGGGGGAGGAGCAGCGGGGCAGGGGCATAAAAAGAGGAGCAGGGGCCGGGCGCCGCAGATCTGGGCCGTCCACTCGTCACACGAGACACCTGGACGTCTGTCGATCTGGTGATTTTTGGCATGGATTTATAGCGATTAAGGCACGTTGTTAGGGTTACCCCTCGCGCCGCCCACATTTCTCTGTAACCGGAAATGGCTCCTCTATGTTACGTGCATGATGGTTTTTGCTGTGATGGAAGGGAAAAAATGGCTACTACACAACATCCTGTGTTAGAAGGTAAAAAACCCAACAAATCTATTACATTTGGTGTCAACATAACACAGAATCACATTACTATGATCCGCGTTGATTATTTATTTATTTGAGCTATTTTACTCTCATTAATCTACTATACATATTGGTGGCACGAGAGTTTCATGGCACACATTTATGATGCGAGATATGTGGGCTGCACAAACCGTCGCTACGCGTGACTAGCCTAGATCAAGGTAACTGCAGCGGAGTTTAGGTCGTGTTCATCCGTAATGAAGACACGTCAGATTTGGGTTAACTCGCATCTTTTCTGGGAGCACTTTTAATAGATGGGTGTTATGTGGCTTGACAGACTGGCGTCAACTTGTGTCTCACTTTTTCGCTGAAGCACTTATCTGGCACGTCATACATCTGGCTTCAAGTTAGAGTACGACTTTTGTTTTTGTCTTTTTGCATGCATGATCATAGATATCATGACAAACAAGGTTTACGTTACGCCACTTTGTTTTGTTTTTTGTGTTTTTTTAGCTTTTCCTCAATTATTTATGGACTAGGTGAGGTTCTAAAATCACCACAATTGTGTACCCCCACTATGACATATCACAAGAATCCAACACAAGTTCACATTATCATGACCAATGTTACTCTCATTAATTGGGCTGTTTTTTGTTTTCACTAACGTTTTCTATGTATTTAGTGGTAGAGTTTTGTAATTATTAGATCAATGGCCTTTGGTGCCACATTATAATGCGGGACATGTGGGCTGCACAAATTGCCTAGTAGGCAAAATTACTACGAAGTTTCATCTATGCCGGCCCATATATGAAGGCACATTACATTTGTTCTTTGGAATCGCCCATATCTCTTCGACAACACTTTTAATGGAAATGTGTTATGTGGCTTGATAGATCGACGTCAACTTGCGTCCCACTTTTTTGTTGGATTAGTTATCAAGCAAGTCACATGTCTGACTTTGAGCTAAAGTATGGCTTTTGTTTTGTTTTTTGCATGCATTATCATCGACACCATGGCATCAAACAACGCTTCTCTAAACACTAAAATGTGAAATCATGTGCTCTTTAAGATTTGACGGAGCTAAATTCGAAAGATCCCGGGGTAGGGGATCCAGAGCTAGGCGTGTAGACACGATGGTAGCATGGACACAGGGTTTACCCAGGTTCAGCTTCTCTGAAGAGATAACACTCTACGTCCTGCTTGTGTTTATTGTAATGGATTGGCCGATTGGGTACTAAGTACATATGATCTATCCTGAGATTGTTGTGTGTCTTCTACAAGCGCTACCCCTCGGTTTATATAGATACCAGGGGGTCCTAGGGTTACAACATCCTAGTTGGCTACGTATGAGGAGATCGAGTCTTCGATGACCCAGTGATGACCCACAAGTATAGGGGATCAATTGTAGCTCTGTTTTGATAAGTAAGAGTGTCGAACCCAATGAGGAGCAGAAGGTAATCACAGGTGGTTCTCAGCAAGGTAATGTCTGCAAGTGCTGAAATTGTAAGTAGCTGAGTAGTTTGATAGCAAGATAATTTGTAACAAGCAAGTAACGATAGTAGTAGCAAAAGTGCAGCAAGGTAGCCCAATCTTTTTGAGGCAAAGGACAGGCCAAAACGGTCTCTTATGATAAGCAAAGTGTTCTTGAGAGTACACGACAATTTCATCTAGTCACTTTCATCATGTTGGTTTGATTTGTGTTCGCTACTTTGATAATTTGATATGTGGGTGGACCGGTGCTCAGGTGTTGTTCTTACTTGAACAAAACCTCCTACTTATGATTAACCCTCCCGCAAGCATTCGCAACTACGAGAAAAGTATTAAGAATACTTTCTAACCATAGCATTAAACTTTCGGATCCAATCGGTCCCTTATTGAATAGCGCATAAACTAGGGTTTAAGCTTCTGTCACTCTCGCAACCCATCATCTAATTGCTACTCCACAATGCATTCCCTTAGGCCCAAATATCATGAAGTTTCATGTAGTCGAACGTTCACATGACACCACTAAGGGAATCACAACATACATACTATCAAAATATTGAACACATATCAAGTTCACATGATTACTTGCAACATGATTTCTCCCGTGACCTCAAGAACAAAAGTAACTACTCACAAATGATAAACATGCTCAAGATCAGAGGAGTATTAAATAGTATATTGGATCTGAACGTATAACCTTCCACCAAATAAACCATATAGTAATCAACACTACTAGTCACCCACAAGCACCAATCTATAGTTCTGGTAACAAGATTGAACACAAGAAATGAACTAGGGTTTGAGATGA